TACCTACAGTAGCTTTATACATGTGCAGGTTTTTTATTTTTCTAATTGTCCTGATGGCTGTAGAGAGTTAAATTAATCTCTCAGAAGCACGACTACACCAGTACACTGCAGAAATCTGACATTTTTATAAACGTAGTCCCACTTTTAGACAATCAGTTAATATACTTGAACTGAAAGAGGATTGATTTATCTTTTCCAGTGCTTTGTGTAATTAACTACTTGACCTTCTTGTTGCCATGGAAGTGAATCAAAAACAGGAAATTACAAGTGATGCATCCTCTTTTCCCTTCATTTTGTTTCTCTTTACAGTTTAGAAAAAAAATACATCAGTTTATATTCAGAGATTTGTGAAAACAAAACAATGCCAAGCGTAAGAAATGAGAATATTTCCAGAAAATGAAATGAGCAGAGTCTGACAGGAAGAGAGAGAGACGCACATGCTCGTCCATTTTAAGTTTATACCATGTCTGCTGTAGGATTGCCTTAAATAAATATTTGTATACCCACTTAGATCCTTAGCAGTCATGTTCAGACTCTAAGGACATCTCATCATTCTCAAATAGTTAGTCATTTATGGTTTTATCTCATCAACATGGTTATTTTTATAAAACAAAATGTAAATGTATTAATTTAAAAGTATTAAAACCATGAGATGGTATAGAAAAAATGAGCTTTAAGATAACTTTTTTTGTTTATTTAATCTTGAAATAATAATTTTGCAACAAAAAAAAAAAGATTTTTTTTTCCATTTTTAGAACTTGGTCATTTGAAATATTTAGAAATATTCTTTATCAAAAAACATTATAAGTTTCTGCCTAGCTCATTGATATTGGTTAAAACCTAAAGATACATGCAGATTTATTGAAAAGGAAATATATCTATAAATATATATTAAAAAGGAAGAAATTACTTCTTAACTTCTGTTCAACCATTATCAGACATCAGAGATTGGTTTTTTGTTTTTTTGGTTTTGTTTTAATAAAGAAAAAGAAGCAGTAAAATAACCTTGTACAGAATTTCCAAGTAAGACGCTAACATTAGCATTTTAGTATGATTTTGGAGATATTTATATATAGTAAAACATAACTAAGTAAATATTTTACACTTAAATTATTGGAGTGTTTAAAAGATTAGAATAAAAAAGCGAGTTTTGAGACTATTCAGTCCTAAAATGTTACAAATATAACACAAACTGTGTGCAGGAACATAAGAATAAAGTTGCAATCTTTTTAACGTTTTATTTCACTCTATAAAATCTTTATAAGATGTTGTTTTATCCCTGAGTCATACATTCTGTCACCTAATCAGTTTGGACATCTTTGAGAAAACAAAAGCCTCTAAAACCAGAGAACTATTTTGGTCTATTTGGATTTTTCTAAAGGTTTGGCATAGTTGGTCACCCAGACGATGTTTTAAAACGTTCCTGTTGAAAGGTCAAAGATAAGGCGTCTGTCTTAGACTGAAAAATGAACAAATAGCCAGTGGGAAAGTCCTTTTTTCAGGCTCGAATGGTTGTCTTACATGTTCACATTTTCCTAAACTGGGATCAAATGTCTCCATAACAAAATACAAAACATTATTCTGAGGAAATGTTAAACCTAAAATACATACAGAATGGATTTCTGTCCTGACCTGTTATATTTAAATACAGAGGTATGAGTTTGTTGAGAGGCCAACTGTCTGTCACCGTTGGAAAGGTAGAAAGAGATCCACTGTCCCAAAAAGATCCTCAATAAGTCTTGTTTTTTTCTAAGAGATCTTCAGGGCAAAGTAGACATGTGAGAGAAGGGGCTTTGTTCAAATAGACCCAAAAATCCAATTTATGGTTGGCATAGAAACACTTTGCATTACTCTGAACAGATGACTCATATAGAAATATGGTGACAGCATCACACTCTTGCGATGTTTTTTGTGTTGCTAGGAAAATGAATTTGCAGAACTGAGAGCAAGGATGTATCACAATACAGGCAAAACCTGTCAGACTCGGTTGGAGGTTTTTTCTTTCAAGAAGACAAAACAACATCCAGCAAGAGGTACAATGCAGACATTTAAAGCATATTAATGTGCTAGAATGGGTCAGTCAGAGTTCAGGTGTAAATTTATGCAGGAAGCTTCCAGTTTATTTATTTGCACTTTTATTTGTTCGGTACTAAATTTCTAATCCAACTCTTGTTTTGTTTTGCTTTACCAAAATAAAGCTGCAGGTTGAAGAGAATTCATTTCATCCCTTCCCAGAGATGATGTAAACATGAGCAGCTGCAGTTTCTTTTTTCTCTTAGGAATTGTTTCTGTAAACGCACAGAGGAAATCATTTGAACTGGGTTGATCGTTCTCCTTGGGGGATGCTAACAAAACCCACAAACCAGGAGGAAGATGTATAACCGAGCTCAGCTGCTTTAAACTGAACCTCAAATAGAGGACTGGTCAAAGTTGAGCTGATCTAGAGGTCAGTTACCCTGCGAGAGAACAATTATTTGAGAAAACATTGGAGTCTGAGAAAATCAGCTTAAGAGCTCTCTGATCCTGCGAGAGAGAGAGAGACCATGCAGATACCACCCCAACGCTTCCCCCCACCCTTCAACCAGTTAAACCATCTACCGCTGTGGACTCCATCCCCTCAGGCCTCAATAAAACCCAGGAAAAAACATTCCCCGTCTACAAGGTGTACAGGAAAAACACCGTAGAAGACTGTTGGAGCAACAATTTGACATTATCACATGGATTTAGGTCTGTAGAGTTCAGGCGGATCAAGGGGTTCCGCAAAAACAATCCTTCAAAGCAGGGAGTATCAAGCAGAGGAATGCAGTACAAATAAACGCCTGAACCGGTAAAAAGACTTGGTTTTCTTCCTGAACAATTCCCAGACATTCCCAGTGTAGCGTTTCTAATGTGTAAGCTGCTTTGGGTTATATATGTTTGAACTGAAAGTATTTCACAGATATTTCTCAAAGTCACAAGACAGGCCGGAGACAAAAAGAAAACTGGAAGGATGAATCAAGCGTGTGACGCGTTACAGATTGGTTCAAGCTTTGTTTATCATGGGATAGATGATGGAATTAAAAGGTCGAGAAAAGGTTATTCTAGGAGCAATGTTATCTAACTAAGCAAGAATCAGTCCGAAACATTGATCATGTCAATAATTGGCTGCAATTAACATTGTAGCTAAAATGTTTGGGTTTTTCATTTGACCTCTGCATGGTCCAGTTCTTACCAGTGGGCCAAAAGGCTTTAAATTAGGTTGACTCAGAATTGACATTCATAGAGCTCACAAGCAGGAAGATGCATGGAATAGGATATAGTACCAGATGAGATTTTGGGAACTGTTGGGAAATACTGTTTGTTGTCTTTTTAGCCTCTTCCTGGCAATCTATCCCAAAGGATGATGATGGTTTCTTCCATGGAAATCAGAGGTCAAGCAAAGAAACCCCTGTTCTCAAGAAGAAAGTGACATACTTTCTCATTCCATGTTTGGATACCAATAAATGAAAAAATCCCAGCACCATGGTTGGAATCTGCCTTGCAGGGTCAAAAGGTGTTTCATTTGTTTTCCGGATTCATTGGACCGACAATAAACACCAATGGCATAACTTTACTTCTCATTGTAGCTTAAAACAGCAGTAGTTAGCACTGTTGCCTCAAAGAAAGAAGGGCCTGGGCCTTTTCGTGTGGACTTTGCATGTTCTTTCTTTATATTGGTTGGTTTCCTTCGGTCACTAACCCCTATCCCTTCAGAAACTCAATTGTTAATCCAAAATGGCGCTACATAAAATATTGCTTTCGAGCAGATGCATCTAATTCAAATTTGATCAATGGAAGTATTTTGATATTTACAATATAATTAAACAAATTTCAAAGTTATTCAAATATAAAAGTCAGATAACGAATTAAGTACCACACATTCGGATTATCTGTGCCTCTAATTTTTGGTTTCAACAAAGATATTGTCAATAGTAAGAAAAATCATTACAGGATTGTTAAAGGTAAAACATGCGTAAAGTGGTTAAAGTTCTAAATCTTCTGTTATCACATTAAAACTGTTCAAATCGAAATATTGAATTGCAATAATTGTTCCGTAGCTTCTTATTATTGGAAATTACTACTTACTATATGAGATTTTTATTTGCTATTACCCCAAAGCAGAAAGACATCAATGTTTTTTGATTGGTTCAATCATTGCAAGCCATATTATTATTGAAATATTCACCAATATTATTTCATATCCTAAATCTAGTATAAGAATGATGCCAAACAAACATATTTAAATAGTTTTACAAGGATTGACAACTAGTCGGTCTTTGTTCAACAGTTGTAAACTAGTTTCCATATTGGCTCAATGTAAGATCCTTTTAACAAATACAAGGTATGTTTCCAGGTTTAAAGAGCCATGATGGAGTTTTCTAATGATACTGCCATCTGTGGCCAAAACAATGAACTGCAGCACTCTTCTGTTCATTCTCGTAGCTCCTGCTCAACTTACTTAGACTTTTCACCAGTGTCTGAACTGAGCTGGATGCTGGTTTCTTTTGAATATGCACAAAATCCATCTTGAATATAGCACTTCGACTGTCTGCTAGGTTGGACCCATTTAACGTCACATGCGGACCCAAAGTTAATTCAGGAAAACAGACTACAGGCTTATGGTGCATCTGTGCTAAACTACTGAGGTGTAAGTCAGGACATCAAACAGTTTTGTATTCGCACAGGGTCAAATTAAAAAGGCTATTTTAAAGACTTTTCAGCAAAAAGTCTTGAAGTAATAAATCACACTTATTTCACCAGGAATCAGAAGCTTAAAGCAACTGGATTTTTTATTGCAGAACAGAATTCTCGTTGACAAGAAATCCCAATAAATGTTGTTTAATCTCGTGATAAACTAATTGGGTCTGGTAATATTTGTAATCACATGTTTAACCATTAAATAAGTTGTTAACTGCTGAATGTATGAACCGACAAGCTGTAGACCTAGTGCTTACTAAAGCAGACCATTGTCCTTCTCATACCTCTGGGGATGCTAATCTTAAAGTCCAAGTCCCTCTCCTCCAGGTGGTACAATGCCACTTCCTGTAACCGGGCGCGCTCCAGCTCTGACAGGCTCTGGATGGGAACCGGCTGCAAACGCACACTCTGTCCCAACATGGTTGCCCAGGTGTGGTCTCCCTGCAGATAAAAAGAACAGGTTTAAAATCTCTGCATATTAGATAAATTAACCAAGAGGCTTAATTTCATTAACTGTGGAGACTGTATTCTCTTTTATTTTTGTTTTTGTACCATTAATGATCAAAAGACATGCTTAGATTGTCCTCGGTTCAATTAATTAACATTGCAAACCAACCATCAAGTACTTGAGGGAAAAACAATCCTTCTCTCCAGTCTTAAGGGAAAAACCTAAAGTCATATTAACTCAAATTCTCAAGCAGCCATCCGTTCAGAAAAACAAAAGAACTACAAACGAATATTTTCAGGTGCAAAATATTGCATTACTGGTTTGCTAATATTTTTTTCACGTGTTATTCATATGCTTATATTTATCTGAGCAGTTCTTTGTAAAGTACCACTGATATACTATTTGTTTGTTTTCCTTGGATCATTTTCAGGCACTCCTTTCTATTCCTCTCTTTAGACATAGACAAATTAAATACAGTAAAAACATCTCTCAAGCTTATTCTTTCTTTTTAGAAAATATAAAATTCCTCTATAAAAGCAACCTCTGCTGCTTAGAGACATTTTATACCTTAACTGCAGTTGGGAACAAGAAGAGCTTTGTTTATTCATGGGCTATTAGCCAAAATTATGAACCAGCCATTACCAGTTTATAAAACTCTTAAAGATTTATAATATTCATCAAGATTTTATAATATACTACTGTATAATATTTATAAACGGCTTCAAGAGGGGATATTTCTACTTTGAACGTGAGAATTTCAGAGCAGATCTTGGTCATTGTTAAGCTTATTGGATCTCATAAATGTGATCATTGTGAAATGATTTCAGAAAGACCTTTTTTTTTTAATTAAATACCCTCTTAAAATGTCTGTAAGTCAGGAATCTTTGGTAACATCAACGCTTTGGTCTTATTACTGGTGAATTAGACTTATTATTGGTATACACACTTGATCAAGGAAAATGCATTAAAGCATGGTTCCAATTACAGTTCCCAGTAATTTCCAAACTGCAAGATAACCTAAACCTGTAACAAGAACAAAGATACCAGCAGAGCTGCAGAGAGGAGGCATCTGTCTGCGCTGGAGGTAAGAAGACCAAACAGCTTTTTAAAAAGCCACCTTAAATCCTTTTGAGAGCATTCCTGCTTCATCCTTTTTCAACATTATTTGCCCTTTCACTGTAGCTCACAGCCTGATCAAGACACTGACTGGATTTCATGATGTGAATGTAAACTAAAGTTCACATCTTTCAACTTTATTCGCAGGTGACACGGCGATCCAATTTGGCCAACTTCATCAAAATCATGCCGTTTGCCTTCCTTCACCTTTGCCTCTCTCAGCCTCGCTCTGCTTTGCCTCATTCTACATCTGTCCTCTACATAGAGATAACATTGGAATCCTTCAATCCCGCTGCAAAATTTGCATTCGATGTGAATATTCTTTAAATATTTACATTAAGTGTAAGGGTAAAACACAAAAGAGAAAACTAGATTGAATCAAAAGATTCCTTTTTTATTTTTGTAGAGCTGAAAAATGTGAACAGATTGAATTTTGCCTCTCACTGAGCCTGCATTGTTTTGTTAAATGAATAAAGAAAACACTCTAATATTTAAGAAAAATATTGGCTGGAAAACAAGTCAGAAAAGCTTTGGGAGCATTAGATTAGTATTGGTTTTAATATCCAACAAGACCTTCAGCCTGAGAAGTAAAACGCTGTTAAGGAAATCCTTATATGGCTGTTAAACAGTGTCTTACTCTAAACTGTCAAACATAAACTCTAAAAATGCATTGTGTAAGACACCATAAAACATCTTCTGTATACAGTTCTACTCAAAGGCTTACCTAAAGGCCCCATAACGCTATCAAACCACTTTGTCTCTGACTGAAATGCTTTTAAACAAAATAGATTAGTGTCTTTCAAACACTGATAAAAATTTTTGTGAAAAGAATATATATATATATATATATATATATATATATATATATATATATATATATATATATATATATATATATATAT